ATAGATAGATAGATAGATAGATAGATAGATAGATAGATAGATAGATATGGAGAGAGGGTGAGGGGGAGAAGGTGAGAGAGGGAGGAAGAGAGAGAGAGAGGATAAGTGATAGATAAGGGGTCTTCAAACTTGACAGCTTTAAAACTTACGGACTTACAGACTTCAACTCCCAGAATTCCTCCTCCATGTCAGCTCAGGAATTCTGGGAGTTGAAGACCACAAGCCTTAAATTTGCCAAGTTTGAAGACCCTTGATCGAGAACATAGAATAATAGGAGTGGAAGTGTTCTTGGAGGTCTTCTAGTTCAGAGGTCTCCAGCAAAGCTGGCTGAGGAATTCTGGGAGTTGAAGTCCACAAGTCTTAAAGTGGCCAAGGTTGGAGACCTCAGGTTTATGGGTTCCTTCAAGTGATGTTAAGCCATCCTCCCCCATTTTCTCGCAGCGCTGTGATTGAACACACCAACAGGGTGATTTTTCTGGAAGATGATGACGTGGCAGCCGTGGTTGAGGGCCGCCTCTCCATACATCGGATCAAGCGAACTTTTGGAGATCATCCTAGCCGGGCGGTTCAGACCCTCCAGATGGAGCTGCAACAGATCATGAAGGGTACGGATTGAGGGTTGGCACTTTTCAAACGTTTTGCTTGCCAGGCTGCTTCTGAGGTGTCCACAGTCCCTTCCAGGTGTAACTCCACCATCCTGTTCTTCTGTGGCCTGTTGGCTAGATGATCCTTAGAAGGTCCCTCCAGGTGCGCTCAGACAGGATACAATTTGCCCTATGAGGTAGACCTGTTCAACATGAACGTGTGCATTTTCAGAAGAGTAAAATGGGTTTTTACTACTGTGTTATTACGGATGTGGACTTGGGTTGAGGGATGGGCTCCTTGTCCAAAACGAGAAGGGCAAGGTTGCCTCTATTCAGTGGACTTCCTTTTGTTCTTCCAAGGCAACTTCAGTTCGTTCATGCAAAAGGAAATATTTGAGCAGCCAGAATCTGTCGTGAACACCATGAGAGGGAGAGTCAACTTCGATGACTACACAGGTAAACTACACGGAATTGTCTTCTGCTCAGGAAAACCAGGACTTTTTAAAACACAAAACTCTTTGTCTCCCCAAATGTGGTTTATTAAGTAGATAGATTTCATTCACAGGGGAGATCCGTAGATGCTCTAACACTGGACAGTGACAGTAAACTCGGTTTCTCTTCTTCCACTGCGGTGGATCTCGGCTAACAAACTTGCTACGGGCCAACTTGTCCCATGATCAAAACCTCTGGCTATCTTGCTCCCTGGAGGTTGCTTTGACAGGCCGCGGAGTTCTCTTTGGGGTGAGGGGTGGAGCGCCACTGAGCCTCCTTTCGTAAGGATTGCTAAAGAAATCCTGCGGGATCCTTTTGCATTGGAGCCGTTCTGCTTTTCTGTGGGCCGTTTTCGCCAAGACTTTTGCCTTGTTCTTTGCCGCAGTGAACCTCGGGGGCTTGAAAGACCATATCAAGGAGATCCTGCGATGCCGGCGTTTGATCCTCATCGCTTGTGGGACAAGCTACCACGCAGGCGTCGCTGTGAGTAGCTGAACTCAAAGTAGCGTTTCAAAGTGTTTGAAAGATCAGCAAGGCCCTGCAGCAGGGAAATGTCGGTCCTGCTATTGGGACTTGCAGCTTTTTCTCGATGGTGCACTGTGTGTGTGTGTGTGTGTGTGTGTGCGTGTGTGTGTGCAAAAAATCAAAGTGACACAACCATGTAGCCGAAGCCTTGGGTCCTTTTTACGTCCATCGCTAGTGCTGGTGTTTCAGTCGTGCCAGGCATCTAATTTGGAGGCTTTGAACAGTTGGACTCCTGGAATTATTGATACAGGAAGAGCTAGTCCTGCCCCTGTCGGAGTCTGAATCCGAGGAGGTAGACAAACAGCTGACACAGGGAGTGAGTGTGGATCTGTTGGCTGTGAAGGAAACTGGGGAAGGGCAAAGTCCAGCTGGGCAGAGCAGGAGAGAGGTAGAAGAAGAGAGAGGGAGTTCAGAGGAAGACCCAGGCCCAGACCCTTTTCATCCTAGGACATGCAGGGAAGAACGGAGAAGGGAGCAACGTGGGTTGCGTGGCTCACGGGGGAGGAAAGGGCCCTGATTCCCTTCATTAGCCACAGCTGGGAAGACAGTTGATAAGAAAGGCAGGCTGCGTGAGGCAAATTGCTGGGAACAAACATGAGCTTATCTTGTGTTGACTTTGGTTATCTGTGTTCCTGGCATCCTCCCAACCGGAATTAACTGCCATTCCTTCAGGTCTGGAATTTCTTCTCTTGCCCTGCTGGACTAATTATCTCATCTTGCCTTGATTGGACTTATAGTTTTTGTTGACCACATTTTGGACTTGATTCTCTGCAGCCAAAGGCTGTTCCTGGGAGAGTTTTTCTCCAGCCCAGAAGGTAACCAGGACATTGGAGGCAAAGTTGGAGCTAATAAAGCGACTCCTACTGATCACCTGACTGTGTTGCCTTTGTGCCACGCCCCTTTGGGTCATCACAGAGCTTCTGTGAGATCGTTAATTTACCAGCCTGTGGGTGGAATAAATGATACTCAACATAAACGTGTACTTAAATGGGCCTGCAGCTTTTGAGTGATGCTTTTGAGTGGTGCAGTGGTTAGAGTGCAATATTGCAGGCTACTTCTGCTGACTGCCAGCAGTTCAGCAGTTTGACCAGCCAAAGGTTGACTCAGCCTTCTATCTTTCCGAGGTCGGTAAAACAAGGACCCAGATTGTTGGGGGCAAGAGGCTGGCTCTGTAAACCCCTTAGAGAGGGCTGTGAAGCACTGTGAAGCGGTATATGAGTTGAAGTGCTGTTGCTACTTTCATTTTATGCTCTGTTCCTTCCTCTCCCTCCCTCTTTCTCCCCCTCCCTGCATCACTCGCCCAGACTCGCCAAGTGCTGGAAGAACTGACGGAGCTGCCTGTCATGGTGGAGCTGGCCAGTGACTTCTTGGACAGAAATACTCCCGTCTTCCGCGATGATGTCTGCTTCTTCATCAGCCAGTCAGGTGGGATGGCCAAGGGAGGCCTCTGGGATCAGCTGACAAAAGAATGCAAAGTTTACCCGGTGTTTTAGCAACTCTCCTACCTTGAGGAGAGCAGAGAAGAGGTAGAACAAGGGAGAGGGAGTTCAGAGGAAGACCCAGGCCCACCCCCTCTTCATCCTAGAATAAGCAGGGAAGAACGGAGAAGGGAGCAACATGACTTACAGGGGAGGAAAGGGCCCTGATTCCCTTTTCCATAGGAAAAGAGTTTAAAGGAGAGGCAGCAGAGAGCTGCATTTGCCAGGAACAAACGTCAGTTTATCTTGTGTTGACTGCGGTTATCTGTATTCCTGGCATCCTCCCAACTGGGTTGATTTACTGCCATGCTATTTCCCTTCTGGAGCTCCTTACCTTACCCTGCTGGATTAATAACCAGGACCTTGGAGGCAAAGTTTGGAGCTAATAAAGGGATTCCTACTTATTATCTGGCTGTGTTGACTTTGTGCCACGCCCCTTTGGGTCAACCCAACGTGCCAGAGAAATGTCCCTGGGCATTTCTTCCCAAATATTGAAGAAAAGAGACGAGTCCAGGTTCATTCGCAGGGTGAGACCCTGTGGCTTTAGAGAGCCATGCTTAATTTGTCTGTGTCTGAGCTGTGTCCCATGTTCATAAGGAAGGTAGGAATAAGGCCCCTGCTCTGACAGATCTCCAGCTAGGAGCGCCTTCTTGATTGACCAGGTCCATCTCTCTCTCGGCAGGGGAGACGGCCGACACCTTGATGGCCCTTCGGTACTGCAAGGAAAGGGGAGCCCTCACGGTGGGCATCACAAACACCGTCGGGAGCTCCATTTCACGGGAGACGGACTGTGGGGTGCATATCAACGCAGGGCCAGAGATCGGGGTGGCCAGCACAAAGGTGAGGAGCCTGGGCGTAAAGAGGAGCTCAGAGGCGCAGGTTGGTGTGAAGGTGTGGCGGCTTATCAGGTCTTAACTCTGGAGTCCCCATGCCAACTGCACCTGGGCCCTCCTGCTTTTCTTAAGGCCGGGAGTTGCGGTCCCAGGAATTAATATCCACCTGCATTCTGGAAAAGCCTCCGTTTTATGTATAGTCCGAAAAGGCAGGACAGGTAAGAATAGAATAAGAATAAGAATAAGAATTAGAATAGAATAGAAAATGAATAGAATAGAATAGAATAGAATAGAATAGAAAATAGAATAGAAAATAGAAAATAGAATAGAATATAGAATAGAATACCGTGTTTCTCCAACAATACGGCCTCCACCAATAGGAAGCCCCAGCATGATTTATTGGCATAAAATCAAATTAAGCCCCTCCCCCCAAATTAAGGCCCATATTAAACATGCGAAATGGGGGGGGGAATGGCAGGGGGGGGGGGGGCTTGCCGTTAGGAAGTACTTTTGTTGCATGCCCGGATATGGTGCTAGCTGTATTGGTGGGGCACTTCATATCGGGAGACCTTCCGCCACCGTTAATTTCCCTTCTCCCTTGCTGCCGTAGCGTTACAGCAACGCCGCGGCGTTTGGCGCAGCCACGTGCAGCCAGTCAGGGCTCCTCCCTGCAACCGGAGCCCTGAGGAGACACTTGGCTTCAGGCGCTCCTGTGGCCGCCTTCCCTTTGCCTTCGATGGTAAAGTGAATTGTTTTAAAAACCTCCGCTCATCCTATCAGGGCCGTGCGAGCTGAGCAGAGCCGGGAAAGCAAGCCGCGGGTGTTTCCTGGTTCTGCCCAGCCCGTACGGCTCTGCCGCGGCCCTGGCGGGATGAGCGGAGGTTTTTAAAATAATTCACTTTACCTTCTAAGGCAAAGGGAAGGCGGCCACAGGAGCGCCTGAAGCCAAGTATACCAACAACAAAAGGCAAATCCTCAAGGTGGGCTGGAGGGAGGTGGCTACGTGCCCCCCGGGCTGCTTCAATGCAAGGTCCTGACTTGCAGCATCCTGCCGTTGCCGCCGCGTCCTCCCTCTCCGACTGCAAAACTCGTGTGCTTCGCCAAACGCTCCGAGCGAGGCGAGCTCTTTCATACATAGAGAGAGAGGGAAAGACGCCGGCGTGCTCCGAGAGGCTGGCTCTTTTCTCTAGCCGAGGCTGACAGGAAGTGCCTCCAGGGCCGTGGCAGGCAAGCCGCGGGTGTTTCCTGGTTCTGCCCAGCGCGCGCGGCTCTGCCACAGCCCTGGCGGGATGAGCGGAGGGCCCGGCGGGGAGGCACTCGTTGCCTTGGTGACATTTCGGGTGCCTCCGCCGCCTCCTCGCCCATTGCAGGTGGCGGCGGCAAGCGGCGGCGCTTCGCTGAGGGAAAAAGAAGACAGCGCAGCCACCTTGCTTGCTTTCCCACCTGCCCGCCTCAGATGGCCTCAGGAGC